ACATGATGAAAAGACCCTTTTAGGTACCTATATCATACTTTGTATCATCTATACATGTCCATGTTTATGTGGAATCTCATACTAATATTTCCTTATGTATGTTTTCTGTTTGCAGAAAATTTCCTTCTGCTTTCTAATGATAGCCAAAAGCTCTTTATTCGTCTTTATACACGAAAAGGTGTCACTTTATATCTCCTTTAAACATTAGATCATCATGTCCTATTATTATTATTATGGATTTCAGTAATTTGCAAACTCTGCAGATATAATATAATATATATATATATATATATATATATATATATATATATATATATAATATCTATATTTCTTACTCCAGGTCCATGGTTTCGGATGTCTAATATATCTTATGCTGAAATATTGGATCACCAATCAGCAGTGAATGAACTCTCTGGTAATTTAACTTTGTATTGAAATAATTTTACATAAGGCTAAAATTCAAATGTATATGATCTTGATGAGATTGTTTATCTTTTCATCATGCAGCAGGAGGTTATGTTTGTTCCACTGAAACCACAAGTGAATTACATAAAGATGATTTTGAAAGAATCTTGAATCTCCTCAATGTTGGTGAGCTGAGGGAAATGTTATCTTTGATTAAAAAGGTTTGCATTATTTCAAAGCTGGATTTAGTAATCAAACACCTTTTTTTTCTTCCTAAAATTATATCTTGATGGAGCATTCTAGAAGGTTCCTCCTAAATTTGGTTGATACTGTAGTTATGCTCCTAAATTTATCTATTGGCTTCTGATGACCACACAGGAAAAGAATCACTGTGTGGACAGATATGGGCCATATATTCTTATCACTTAATACATATAAAAAGATATTTTTTTGATCATCTTTTCACATTTAAATATCTGATAAATCTAATTATCTTTCAGAAACACAGTCAAAGTCCACGCAAACATGATTCTATTTCTGCACTTCTTTCATCATATGGGGATAAATCAAGGTCTTGTGATTGTTTCATTTCAATTTTCAAGTTCTCATCTCTGTTTATGTTAATTACTTTCTTATATTAATCATAATCATCAATCATGTATCCTTTATACTGTAGGTCATTGTTAAAGAAAATAATGTTGGAAAAAACAGGGCTTTGCATACGTATTTCTTCAGCAGCTGATTTGCTGATTTGGCGTGTTGAGGTAGTGTACTAACTACTATGCTCTCATGTTAGGAACGTAATCACTCATTCCATTCCTGTTTCTTTTTCATTCCATTCCATCCAACCAAACACACCCTAACTTCTTAAGTTGTTTCCATGCAGAGGCTTTTCTTCTGTAATGGGGAACAAGATCTGTCAGCATTTTTACTTGTGGATTTGGGAATTGTCAAGTATCCAACTTACAATTGTGTCATCACTGACCATATTTTCTCCAACCGAAATGATCTACTATCTTATGAAAAGGTAACACTACAAATATAACAATATTATCACTTATTTCAAATATCCTGTAGCCTTTATTAATCTATAATTTGTAAGATGTCAACAGGCACTTGAAGTTGCACAAATCATGGATGAATCTCTCGAAGAAAATAACTCATCAATGGTCTTAAAGTGTATTGCAATATCTGATTCACATATATCCATTCAAACCTCCAAAAATTCATCTGCACCTTTTCAATGCTTTTCTGCTTCATGGGTTTACTCCAAGGTGGTTTTATTAGGTGTTTCCTTTCTTGAGTCTGAACGTAGGTAAGGGCAAAATGGTCTTTTTCATCTATTACTAAAGTTGGTTGCATAGCATTTCATATGTGATTAATTTACTTTCACTCAGGTACAATGATGCTGTTAACTTGCTGAAACGCCTACTACTTAACTTTCGTAATGATAGAAGAAGAGGGTATTGGACATTGAGACTTTCCACTGATTTGGAGCATCTGGGTCGGGTCAACGAGAGCCTATCCGTTGCTGAAACCGGGTTGGATGACCCATGGGTTCGGGCCGGGTCAAAAGTATCATTACAAAGACGGGTGCTCCGGTTAGGAAAACCACCAAGAAGATGGAAAGTTCCAAGCTTTTCAGACTCCATCAAACGGAAGATTCCAGAGGTTCATGTTGAAGGCAGGCCACTAAATTGTAAAACCGGAACAAAAAGCCGGTTTTATGGAGAAGATGGAGAACAATGTGGGGTGGAGGAGCTTGCTTTACAGTATTACGCAGGAGAAGAAGGTGGTTATTGGAAAGGAGTTCATTCAGAAAGTGGGATTTGGCTAACTGTTTTCGGGATTCTTATGTGGGATGCTATCTTTGCTGACGTGGCAAATGTCTTTCTCACCAGATTTCAAACATCACCTTTAGATTTGGAAACGGACTGTTTTTATGACTCAAGGAAAAACATTATAGAATCTCTACTGAAAAAAATCCAACAAGGAATGGGTGAAGAGATGTTGATAACTTCATGGGAGTTGCATTTCGGGACAGCCTGTCGTTGCGTTAACTGGAACAGACACTTGTTGACTGAGCTTCGAGCGGTTGTGTCATGCATAGGTGGCGGTTGTCTGGCGTCCATCTGTGGCCACCTGGCGCAGGATTACCGGAGTTGGTCTAGTGGCATGCCGGATTTGTTACTCTGGCGGTTTCATTCCGATTATAGTGGTGAGGCTAAGCTTGTTGAAGTTAAAGGGCCGAGAGATCGGGTTTCTGAACAGCAGCGCGCTTGGCTTTTGTTTTTTATGGATTCCGGTTTCAATGCTGAGGTTTGTAGGGTCAATCCTCCAGTTACCAATAAAGTTTTCGTATAACAAGGGTAAAATAGTAATTTTACATATGGTAACACGCTTATCAAAACCGAAACAGATGGTATGCTACAGGGACTAAAATTGTGGTTTACTTTAATATTTTTGTATTGAAAATGTATAGTTATTTATTAGGGCAAGATTGAAGAAATAGCAATGTAGTTTCTGTATTTTTTATTATTGTAACATTTTTTTTTTACAAAATTGTAATAAGACGTTTAAGAAAATGGGAACAAAACCAATCAAATGCGAAAAATTGTAATGTGTTTGTATTGATTTGGTTATAGTAGCGATTTATTATGTTGTTATAAAAAATTATTATACTTAGGAAAACTTATCCATATAAAACCATCATTTAAATGCAAAAAGTATCACATCTATTAGTAGATAGATTTTTCGAAGTATATTAAGAGTTGATGCTAGAATATACAAGTAAATAAAAATGTGTTATAGTTTTTTTTTTTTCATTTAGCCCAAATAAACATGACTTGAATGTTAAGGGACATCCGATAAGATGAAGATTAGCATAAACCCTTTATGCAAGAAGGATATACACAAATCAAGAAAATGTCCAAATAATATAAATATACAGCATATTTAAAACACATAATGTATTTTATACCATGTTCCTTAAACCATATTTTTCTCATATTAAATAAGGTGAGACATGCAATCCCATAATTAATTTCTGAAATAACACCTAAAAATTATAAATTTTGTAGTACAAATGTCAATGACAAAAGGTACAATGGTTAAATGTGGGAATGGGGCCATGTGGTTACAAAGATCAACCAGGGTTACACCCACATGGATATGTCAAGCACCAACCTTGCAAAACTATGTGCAATTTATTAACAAGTTTACAATCTTTCGATTCTTTGATCAAGTCCCTCATTTATTACCAAATTTGTCTTTTTCTCCCTTCTTAATTTATTTCCAATTCTTTCATAATGATTCATGTCCCACAATTTCAAAATCATGTTACTTCTTATTCCATGGTGGGCCGACCCGGTTAACCGATGTCGGGTTCATATGATGGGTGGTTAGATTTGAATATTGAACCATGGTCCATGTTGCAATTCAAGTATTGTTGTAGTTAGTTGCACCATATAATTTAAGGTGATGTGTGCATGTGTAATATGAAAGCGATCATACCATATATGAACAATCATAATCACATAATTTTATTACTAGAATGGATCGTAGAAGATAATAGTATTTGGATGCACTTGTATTTTTTGGAATTGTTGTAAAGATACACAGTGTTGGAAAAATTATGATTTTTTTTTTTTTAAAAGAATTAATAGAAACACCTTTTATATTATGCAAGTATTTTAAAATATGAAGAAAAAATGATCTACCATGCATGGTCATATATTTTTTCATATTATTTATCAATATATTCTTAAAAAAAATGTGGTTTTTCTTTCAAACAATTATTTTTCATGATAAAAATATAAATATCTTAGTGTTTTTTTATGTGACAAAGGATAAATTAATTTGAAATAATTAAATAACTAAGAGTAATCTACATTTTTAATCCATTATAGTTTTTTTTTTCCTTTCAAATTTTGTTCCGTTCTTATATCGTTTTTTTTTACTCTATTCCAAGTAAAATAACGATTTTTTTCTTTTTATAATTTATTGGTCCGAAAAATATATTCATTTTATTTGGAATGAAAAAACATTACAAAAATCTCAAATAATAACCAAAATTACAAGAGTTTTAGACTAAAATTGGAAAAATCATATAGAGACTAAAAATAAAATTTACTCAAACCAAAATTAAAAACAACTTACCAAACCTTTAATAACCAATTAATTTCAATTTAAAATCACTAATTAAATACGAACTACACATCCAAACACCCAAAATAAAATGTCGACAACCTAAACAGTAAACAAAGTTCAAAGTGAACTCTCATTTGACAAAAGCTTCGATGACTTGTACAGTGTGCTAACATCATTTATGCTGACTTTGCTCTTCTTACTTGTACCTTACAACTCAATAATGCACCTTAGAACATATTTACGACATCAAATATCAGCTTTCAGTGACGTGTACACCTTCTGACACCGATTGGTAGTTATAGTTACCGTCATATTAACACTTGTACAGTACAACTCACAGATGCATTCCTAACCCCTTTTAAGACCATCAAAATCCATCTTCCCTCAACCATAAAAACTCCCACTCAACTCCTCAAACCCAACCCATTTTCCCTCCAAACACAAAAATGATCAACTTCGATGACTTGTACAGTGTGCTTACTGCAGTTGTACCTTTATACGTAACAATGTTCTTGGCATACGCATCTGTAAAATGGAACATTTTCTCACCACAACAATGTGGTGGAATAAACCGATTTGTCGCCATTTTTGCTGTTCCTCTTCTCTCATTCGAGTTCATTTCAAGAATCAATCCGTATAAAATGAATCTCAAATTCATAGCAGCCGATGGCGTTTCAAAGATTTTGACCTTAATCGTTTTGTTTTTGTGGACAAATTTGTCAAAAAATGGAAGTCTAGATTGGGCTATCACGATGTTTTCCCTTTCTACCCTTCCTAACACACTTGTTATGGGAATCCCACTTTTGAAATCGATGTATGGTGATGATAAAGAATCGATCATGGTTCAAGCGGTTGTGTTGCAGTGTATAATATGGTACACGTTACTTTTGTTCTTGTTTGAGTATCGAGAAGCTAAGAATTTGATACTGACAAGTGGCGGTGGTAACAATATCAGTAAGAGTAACAGTAACAATAGCAGTATTAGTAACAGTCAGAGAAATGATGAAAGTTTTTGTGTGGTTCAAGAAAGGGTGGAGAGAAGTACGCGAAATGAAGATGATATTGTTAATGTGATTCAGAGTCTTAATAGGGTGGCACCCGCAATCGCGACTGCGGTTGATGATGATAAAAGAGAGTTGCATTTGTTTATTTGGCGTTGTAGGTGTTGCAGTTCTCCAAGTAAGTAGTGTTTGGATAAATGATGTTTAATAAAGAAAATACCCCTCATGAAAATTTGTTAAAAAAGTTGGTATTTTTTAGGAAAGTCTCATTTTCTCTGAGTTTCTCTGTTAAGTTGTTCTTTCTGAATTAATAACAGGTGCATGCGAACAATCAGTGGAAGTACGCAATAGAGAGAATGAGAAAGCCGAGAGTGTTGAAGAACCGAACATTATTGAGTCTCCGGGGTCACCTTCAATGTTAAAGAAAATATTGAAGATGGTATGCTTTAAGCTGGTGAAAAACCCTAATTCGTATGCGAGCATACTTGGTCTTAGTTGGGCTCTTGCTTCTTGTCGGTAAGCATTTGTGTTTCTAAAGATCAAGATGGAAACACTTTTAAAAAAAATTGTATTTTTTTATGATAAAACTCAGATGGGGAATAAAGAAGCCACAAATTCTTGAAAATTCGGTTACCATTCTCTCAGATGCGGGCCTAGGAATGGCAATGTTCAGTCTAGGTATGAACAAGCCCTAGAACAAAACAGATTATACCGCGTTTGGTTTGCACTAGACTGGGACTATTGACTAATGTCAATAGAAAAAAAATTGGAATTTTTTGTTCCACACAAAAAGTGGGACTATTGATCTCTGTCTATGCAAAAGATGTAAATGCCTTCTCAGTGTGATTATACAAAATAGCATTGGAAAGCTTGTCCGGTCTCGTCCAATCGACATGACTGAATGACATAGGACCAACTAAACAAGCTTTCTATGGATATTTTGTATAATCACGATGAGAAAGGGCATTTACGTCTTTTGCATAGACAAGAGATCAATGGTAAAATTTGCAATTTTTGTCTCGTTGAAATTAAGTCAACACTCCTAATCTAATTGATGTCAAACTTAGTACAACCTATTTTGTTTTGTTTGTTAACAAACAGTTTAACATGGCTTTAGTGAAATGTTGTAATAACTTTTTTAACTAAAAAACTTGCATCTATTATAATGTTGAAGGCTTGTTCATGGCTTCACAACCGAAGCTTATAGCATGTGGGAACAAATTAGCAGCTTATGGCATGGTGGCAAGGTTTGTAGCGGGACCCGCTGTGATGGCAGTTGCTTCTATAGGTGTAGGTCTAAGAGGCACTATCCTACAAGTTTCTATTGTTCAAGCTTCTTTACCACAAGGGATTGTGCCCTTTGTGTTTGCTCGTGAGTACAACTTGCATCCAGACGTTTTGAGCACTGCGTAAGTCATATATATATATATATATATATATATATATATATATATATATATATATATATATATATTGTAATTTGATCTTATAATAATTAAATTCTTAATCCATTTTGTTTCTTTACAGGGTCATTTTTGGAATGATAATATCTTTGCCTATCACAATGTTGTATTACATCTTACTAGGCCTCTAAAAAAGGAGGAAAAGTTGATTCATGAGTGTTCATAATATCAAAAGACCTAACTACATTTTTCTAAACAAAGTATTTAATGTAAGATTTTGTTTCTTTTAGGTGTTAATCTATAAGCTTATACATTCTTTGTCTAATATGATTGTATTAGCTAGGTGTTTGCTTCTTTTTGACTTAATGCAGAAAGAAAACTTAGCAGAGAAAGTTAGGGAAGTGAGGCTTTTCCTATTAAATCCTAACTTTTTACAAATTGCCTTCATTTACTTTTTACTTCCATTTCCTCAAGCGTGTTGTTATTTTCTTGAGGAATGACAATGTACTTTCATTTCTTTTTATTACAACATTATACTTTCAATTTCTTTCTTATTAAAGTATTGTATTTCGACAATTTTACTATATTATAACATTGTACTTCCATTTTTTTTCTTTTTAAGAAATTATATTTTGAAAAATCTACCCAACATAACAACTACCTTGAGCCATAAAATAATCCAATAAATTTATTTAAGTCCATATGGCATAGAAAGCTTACTTGTGGCTAATCGCACTCAATCAATCGCACATTAAAACGAGCCCATCTTCATTTATCCTCATATTAAGCATCTTTCTATCTTCCCGCACCATGTAACTGGGGACCTACAACATGAAAACATTAATAGCGAAAACAAATAGGACTTTAGTTTTTCATATAAGCTTTGAATACATTGCAACATATTCACATGGACACTGAGAGAATGGTAGGCATATGACATAAAGGGTTCAATGGTTCAAGGGTAAAAGAATAAAGTATCATTATTATTTGTAGTTTACTAGTTTCTTTGGTAATTGACAAAAAGGGTACAAAGATACCCTCAGTTTCATGTGACTTGTTTTGTCCATGTCAGAAACATGTAAGGGGCCCTAATAAGGCCTCATAAGACTTATGAAGTACTATCTTTGAGGTAGAGGAACGTCTTTATCTATACATGTAGTGAAAGAATCAAAATAATACAAGCGATTGGTGTTTTTTAACCATCATACGTGGCATTTCTATGCAGAGTAACAAGTGTTCTTTAAAAATTGTAAAAAAGAACACTATATCTTGCAAGAATGTGCACTATATCAAGTTGGAATCTTTATAGTATCATCTAGTTGGAATCAAGAATTATAACATGATTACATTTCCATTGAACGTTTATCTTTTTCTCATGGTAAGCATTACACTAATATTGGGCTTAAGCTATAAAGAGATATATTTTTAATTTGGTAATGTAACCCCCTGACCATGTTGTCAAGCAATTAGATTAGGAAAAACTGTCATTTTATAACACTGTTTGTTGTTGGCATATAATGGATTGGAAGCTTTAGAAGGCTCCCTTTTTGTTTTGATGTAGTCATTCGTATGTTAGCACATGACTTATGCAAGTATTATGTGAGTTCATCTTTTTGGTTATTTTTATTAAAGTTTCGATCATTTAATATTTTTTTTTGGGTGTACTCCTTGTTAGAAATTGGGGGTTACAAGTTGCTATCATGTTTAAGTGAACTAGGTTTCAACCATAAAAGCTCTTTGCTTCCTTTTGCTATTACCAAATATTATGTTTTTGTGTTTCTTTTGATTTAAAGCAAAAATATGCGCTTATTAGAGAAAGTCAGAGAAATGATGCCTTCTTCATTAAGTCCTAACTTTTATAGTTTTTCGTTCATTTATTTTTTCCATTCATTTCCCTAAGTGAATTGTTATTTTCTCAAAATCTAAATGCAAGAAATAGCAACATACTTTCATTTATATGTTTATATAGCATTCTAAAGTTCTTTCCATTACAAAATTTTGCTTATCAAAGCATTCCACTTTGACAAATCATAAAATTGTACTTTCAATTTCTTTTCATGTTAGGACATTGTATTTTGAAAAATCTACCAAATTATAGCAGTAATGCTAAAGTAAAATGTTGTAATACGAAGAAAAATGAAAGTAAAATTTTATAATATAAAAAATTCATGAAAGTATATTGCTATTCTTGCATTTAGCCTTTTTCTCAAATATTTTTTAAACATCATTTACCCAAAGAACACTTGCTAAGAAGAAACGAAATAGGGCCTCAATGATCATTTTAAGCTCTTTGGCAACTAACTTGAACATATAAACCAATAAGTTTATTTCGGTCCATATGGTGTAGAAAACTCAATTGTAGGTTGAAATGGGCCCCATCTTAATTTTCTCCTCTTATTAAGCATTTTCTTATCTTCTCAAGTCACCTAACGGGACCCACATACCGAAAACACTAATAAGCGAATGCAAATAACTATATAAGACCTTATTTTTTCATATCAATTTGTTTATTCCCCTACAAATACATAAACTGCAACTTATAGACAAACCATGTATCATGTATACATGGTAGGGTATGTACACAAGTTCACACGTTGTGCTCACACTTAATTTCATGTCCAGAATCCAACAACAAGGTTTATGATACGTGTCCCTACAATAAACACTCAAAGGTCTCAAACGTGTTAGGTTGTGAGTCACTTCCTAATACTACATAAGTCAAGTGTGATATAGTGACTTATTGAGGATATAAGATAACAATGTCACATGAAGGGTTCAAAGATTCAAGAATAAGTATATAAAACATGGTTATTAAGTGTAGTTTGTTTGGTAACTGACACAGGGGACAAAGATACCCTCAGTTTCATGTGACTTGTTTTGTCCATGATAGAAACATGCAGGGGCCCCTTATGGCCTGAAAACAGTTTTAGTATCTCAAAGCCAAAGAGCCTAGATGCATCATATGTAGTGTAGTATTTCTTTTGAGTTTTGAGTTAAGTAACTTAGATTCTTTAATTCAACCAATAAATATCATATTCTAACTAATAAACATCAATGAAGAACAGAATTCAACATCAATTAGTTAAGTTTTGACATGTAGATGGTTATCTTTGCACATGCTTGTGATATGTCATCAGGGTATTTAAATCTAAAAATCTTATGTGATGTGTCATCATTTGCTTGAACAAGAATTCCATTTCCATGCAACCCTTTAAATGGAAAACAAGTAATGTCAAGAACAAAAAAAAAATACAACCCAAAACCCAAGGAAACAGATTCAAGACGTAAGACATAATCTTTTGTTTAGATAAGCTGAATCCCACCCAGAAACACTCCCATTGATTTCTCCAACACCGAATACTTTGTGGCATGCATTTCATCGGACACTTTGCAGTCAATAATTGGTGTTAATGAAAAGCTGGAAAATGCGGTGATGTGTTTTAGTGACTGAAGAATTCTGGAGGGGAAGGATCCGAGAATTTTGAAAGACGCAGGAGAATAGAGTTAAAAGAATCCATATGTGTTTAGTGTTTCCCAGATATCTGGTTGTGCTCTTGTAGGGATTTGTACGAAAAGAGAGACAGCATTTGGCGGGAGTTGAACCTATGTTCGATCTGGGTTTCCATTATATATTTGGTTATGAACTAGTTTTCAGTTTTATTCTTGGTTCATTTTTCTAAGAAAACTAGTTCTCCATTTACTCCAAATCTCCAATACAGTTCAAGTGGAGCTACGTGACAGAGACAGCGACTTGAGCAAGTTGCTTAGCCCAAACGTCACGTACAAGTAGCAGCCAGCAGGCGAGCATATGAGGGTTGAAAATCAATGTTGTGGCAAGGTGGAGCTAAGATTTTTGAATAAGAAGACTTCAAATGATCAATTCTTAAAATGAATGCTGGGATTTTGGTATAGTGAGTTAATGAGTTTAGGCTTTTAGCACTTAAAATGACCGATTTTTAAAATGGATGGTGAGATTTAGTTATAGTAAGTTTAGCTGGTTGTATATTTATTGTCCACACAAACGGGTTAGACTAGGGGACGAATGGGGTTAGACTAGGGGTGACAATTGATGACACACGAAAAAAAATACACGACATGAAACGAAATTGGAACAAAACTGGAATTTGAATTCGTGTTCGTATCGTGTTCGTGTCAAGTGTAGAAAACACTATGTCGTGTCGTGTTCGTGTCAAAATTCGAAACGCAATTGACACGATTTAACATTTGTCTGTCGTGTTATATATGATTAAGTATTAATTATATACACTAATTTTTATTTTATTTTATCTTTGTCGTGTTGTGTCGTTTTTTAATCGATTCTTTTTCGTGTTAGTTAAAAAAAACACGACATCGTGTCCTGTCATGTTCGTGCTACTTAAAACTTTGTCGTGTCGTGTCGTGTCAGACAAACACACGACACAATGACCCAATTTGCCACTCCTAGGTTAGACACCCATTTGTTTTTCTAGTTCATGGAGTAGATAACAAAAGCCTTGATAAGAATGATGTGGAGCAACATATTGTATATCAACTCCAAATCTCATATATATGTTGTGAAAACAAGCCCCTTTTCACATTTCAATTTTACATAGTGGAAGAGAGAGAAAATCATTTTCATTTGTAAGTGTGTATTAAATTTCATTTTGAATAAATTACACGAATCGTCATGTGTCAAAATGCATGTTTAGTCTCAATTTTCAAAAATTAATTCAAATCATCCCTGTATATATATTTTTTCACTTGGGGTAGTCCCTGCGACCATAAAATGACTATTTTATCCTTAATAATTTGAAATATTCCAAAAAGATGGTCCAAAATTCCATTTTTAATCATTAATAAAACCATAAACACCATTCAACATATAAAAAATCAAGTAGTGTATCTCAAAAATATCATAAACATCTGACAATATATTAGAGTATACACATCCCAGACTGAAATAAATGGTGTGTACTGCAGTCATCCCGAGCTCTTCTCCTTACTAGCGGAAGTACCTGAAACCAAAACTGAAAACTGTAAGCACGGAGCTTAGTGAGTCTCCCCAAACTACCACATACCATAAACATATCATATAATCACATAACAACATATCATGGGACCCGCCCTGCTACATCGGGCCCCGTGCGACATCGAGCAAAGCTCAACATACGTATGAGCATAACTACTAATACATATAAACATAAGCATAATCACCTAATCATAGACATATAAACGTTCCTTGGTCCTTGCCCGACATCGGACCGAGATCCGGAAAGCATACATACATTCCTTGGGAACCTCCCCGACATCGGACTGTAGTGTTAGGCGTGTCAAACCCAACAAATAATAGGGGTACAACAGACTCTAAATACACTGCTTTAATGCACTAAAAAGTAGTACAAGGCAAGCATGGTTGAACCACAGAGACACGGGACAAAAGTCTATACCTCTTTGCGCAAGATACTTTGGTTACAAAAGGGGGGTTTTGTTTGCAAAAGTCAAATAATAAAAATTAACAATCAACTTTGAAACATGCATAAAATGAAATAGATTTGTAAACAAGCTGTAAAAGTGCTTCCAGTTCTAGTTCTCAATGTTGTCATTTAACCTGATTATGACTT